AGCACACTCATCCTGTCAAAACAGGGAGCGGTTTTAGGTTGTGCTGCCAAGAGGTTAAGATATCTGGAGGCAGCACAGTGAGCCTAGACAGAGGGAGGCCTGGAAGCAAAGGCTGCCAGACAGACAGAGCCCTATTCTTTCCCATTTGCCTCTTCTTTCTCAGCCAGCGTCTCCCCCAGAGCATTGTGGCTGGGACTCTGAGCTGAGAGAAGCTGAGGAAGATGTAGAAGAGAGCCAAACTGGAAACAGGACCTCGGTCCTTTACCACCACGCTCGATCTCAGTAGTTTTTTTCAAGGCCCCAAGCAGGATGCCTAGTCTATCTGTCACCAGACCTGACCCACAGGCACTGTGGGGTAGAAACAGGGCTGTCTCCAACAGGATATTTATGGTAATTTGTTAGGTAGCAGAAGGAAAATGGTAACACTGCATTGCTGAAAGGCTCGGGGTAAGTGCAGCCCCTCGGAACTGCGCAGGACCTTACATGGCTTACCCGTGCATGCCTCATGGGCATGCTTGGAGAAAGCCAGACGCATCTGTCAGGTTTTCAGAATACAGTGCCCGGAAGCAGAAGACATACTCAGGGTTCGGTGGAGAACAAAGACTCAGGAGGAGCGGAGTGGGACGAGGTGTGTGGGCTCCGCACAGCTCTGGTAGCATTGCTGGCACCAGCTCCACAGGGAGGCGTTTCCACCAGCTATCACTCCTCCAGTTTGTGTAAATAATATCAAAATAATCAGTAGAATACTGACATTCTTAGAAAAGACTTCCTCCTGTTTTGAAGCATAATCATCAATGTTAGCAATCTCTTTTTCCCTATATTCTTAAGAGCTTCTTTTTCTTTGTCTTCTGAAAGGCCTATAGGAATTAAGTGGGCTGTATGCACAATTTGCAACATTGCAGGGGAGAAAATGATCTCATTACTATTGACTTCAACATAGCAGGAGAATCAGATTAGCCATGGTTGCACTAACGTATTACAGACAAGCTTTGTTTCTCTATATTTTTCTGTTTGGGATTAGAATTATATATAAAGGTTATGAGTTATGATTATCTCACCTGTTCCAATTCAATTACACCTCCGCCTCTGCACACCAGTGCGTAACCTTGCCAAGGGGCCTGAGGAAACAAACTGTGGGCACCAGGAAAGAAGTCATTGGCTTTGTCTCATTTAAATTGGAAATGTTCCCTAAACATTACCAAGGATAAATGCTGCAGAGATTAAGGCCGAGGATCCGGGGTGTTAAGTCAGAGACCAAATGGACACTATGGACAGAAGAAACCGAGGTATGAATGAACTCATGGCAAGGACTAGGTCCAGCTGTACTGACTGTAGCTCATTCTTTTCTATCATTCACAATCTACCCCTTCCTTTTCTAAGGTTACTTTTTAAAAGTAGCATAAAGTGTGGGAAGGACTTAAAACTACATTTACACGTGTGTGTATGCTGTATCTTGGTCATGGGCGCCCTTCCATGACCCTTCCTTGTCCTCCTTTCCTTCTCTGTTCCTCATTCCTCTTTCCAAATGGCACTTCCGTACTTAGGGTCAGGAGAAGGGAAGAAGCATCACAAACAAAACCAATCTCGTTTGGTTTTATAAAGGAGTAAGAGTACATAGAGCTTCCACAAACTCAAGTGAAGGGGGACCACGGATTAGAACTCGCTGCCCATCAACAAGGTGATGTAAATCAGGAGCGTCCAATCTTTTGACTTCTCAGTGTCACAATGGGTGATGTGTCCTAAAGCACATATTAAACACACAAAACACTAACAAGAACTTACGCACACAAAAGAGGTCTGTGTATAATTTTCACAATCTCTACCACTGCACATAAAACCCCCACATCATAATAGTAATTATAAAGCATTTGTAAAGAAAGCAGGTCCCATGTTTGCTTTCCAAATTAAAAAACAAACAAATATGAATGATTAATAAAACTTCATTGACTTATTCATTTATTATGAAACAAGTGAGATATCCAACATTTGAGAAAGAAAGGCATCAGTATCTCCTTGGTAGATGAAGCTGCAATTCTCAGTGAACGCTCAAGGTGTTCATCAAACATTTGGTCCCAATTTTACTCTAAGTGTGTGTGTTCTATTCTTGAAAATAGTTGTTCACATATGTAGGTGCAACCTAAATGGGATGGCATGAAAAAAAGGCATGGTTGTGAAATAAGGGATATTTGTTTCTGGGAGAATGGAACCTATAATAGAAAGAGAGAAGTTTGCTGGGCACAGTGGCATATGACTTTAATCTCCGAACTGGGGAGGCTGAGGCAGATGGATCTCTGTGAATTGGAGCCAGCATGTTCTACATAGTGAGTTCTAGGCCACCTCGTCTTGAATTTTTTTCCTTTAATTTGAATGGCTGATGGCAAGACTGTGCATTCTGTTTGATAATTTAAGTCAACCGAAGAGAGTAATGAATATACCAAAAATACTGGCATTTTGCTGGACTATATGAAATGTTTTAAAAATCTAAAATCAAAAGATTGAGGCTACATTTTTTCCCCCCAAGAACTATGTTTAGTCAATGTATCAAAAATCCATAGAACTGTTAGCCTTAACTGGAGCTTGCCATAATTTCAGCTTCACTCGAAAGCTGTCATGATTTGAAATGTAGTGATAAGTTGGTTTCCATCTTGATGACATATGCTTCATTCATTTGAACAAATGGCTAGATCCACTAAATGGATTTAATGCTAAGTCTGTAAACCCGTTTTCATGGTCAAGTTCTGGCATAAATTTTGTTTTGATATCATAAAAGACTTGATAATATGTTACAAGTCATAAATCTTTTAATGTTTGGCCTCAACTTATCTTACTTCCAAAAAGTGGTATTGGCAGTCAGCATCAATGACTTTAAGGTATTTCTAGAATCAACAATGACTTAATTCTTGGTTCTTTTTTTAAAAATTTATTTAACTTTATTTTATGTGCATTAGTGTGAAGGTATCAGATCCCTTGGAATTGGCATTATAGACAGTTGTGAGCTGCCATGTGGGTGCTGGGAATTGAACCCTGGTCCTTTGGAAGAGCAGACAGTGCTCTTAACCACTGAGCTATCTCTCCAGCTCCAATCCTTGGTTCTTAAGAAATTCAGTCTTGATGATGATTTGCATGATGTTATACATTCTTAATGACCCTGTGCAAACCTCATTAATGATACCTCATTAAAGGGGGATTTGTGGTAGAAAGTACATCATCTTTGATTAGTTTTACAAGTCTCTCTCTCTTTTATCTGTCATCACCAAACACCAACAATAACTACACAAGGAACATAAATATTGCTTTAACTCTTTATATGCGCATGTTCTTCCTGGATGCATTTATGTATACCATGTACACGCCCGGCGCATGTAAAGGTCTAAAGAAGGCACCCAGTCCTCTGGAACTGAAATTATGATGGCTGTGAGCTTCCATGTGGGTGCTAGGGACATGTTTTACTGCTTCACATAAACCTCCTGATTTCGCTGTGTCCTTTAAAACAATTAAAGAAACCATTTCTTCAAAAACAAAAACAACAATAAAAAGAAGCCATTTTTTTAATGACATTAGATTAATTATCAGTACCTTTAGCAAAAATGGCGAGTTGAGCGGCAGCCCTAGTTTGGTCATCCATTGCCAAAGCTAACTTAGATTTAACTCTTTTACTCTCCAAAACTTTACTCAAAAGAGTTCCGCATTTCTTCAGCTAGTAAGGCAAGCTGATTTTAGAAAATATTCCCCCCTTTTCAGTGCACACTGTATCTAAGATTTCCCTATAGTACCTAACAAATTCACTATCAGAAAATGGTGTTTTTTTTTCCCCCAATTAAAGATGTGGCCATATAACTAGCTTTTACAATAAAATTTGTTTGGGTTATAATTTTACATATGCTCGTTAAGAGGTTGGACAGATGGCTCAATGGTTAGCGCAGCTGCAGTTGTTTCTCTTACCCCTGGCAGGCCTGAGTTTGATTCCCAGCATCCACATAGCGGCTCACAACCTTTTATAACTCCAGTTCCAGGGGAGCCGATGCTCTGTTCTGCTTCCATGGGCACCACGCACAAACATGTATCAGACAAGCACTCAATGTTACGCTCTGGCAATCTGAACACATCGCCCAAAAAGAAGCAGTGCTTATTATCTGCCTTAACACAGCAACAAAAAAGCAGTCGTCTGTCTCCGTTTTGTTCAGCAAACTTCTTTCATCTGTAATTTTTCCTTCCTGGGGTTTTGTTTTAGATACTGTAGAAGCCATGCTGAGATTAACAAAATAATAACAGATAAGGGGCAACATTTAATTTTACTATGATAATTAATTGATAGGAAAACAGAAAGCAAAGCTTGGGCAAATGGGAGGGCTGCTTACAAAGTGTGGCAGATGATACCTGGCATGGCTGAGGGCAGAAATAGCTTTATCACTCAAATAAGAATACTTATCTATCTTCTAACGCCAAACACCGACCGTTGGCCACCACTGGTGAGAACACCACTGTAATGGCTGCATGGCTCTCACCACGTCACCACGAGCACAGGAAATAGCCGGTGGCTCTAATTAACAGCCTTATGTTTGGAATACAGCACACAGGAAGCTGCATGCCGCCATAAAACCAAAGCCATAATGTGTCTGAGGATCAAGAACACAATACGTTTATTTTGCCTGACACTGTGACAATGTTGTCATGTTGTACAGTGTTTATACTTAAACATACAAGTTAAATATACATACATACATACATACATATATATATATATATATATATATGTATATATACATATGCCTGGCATGGTAGCACATGCCTTTAATTCCAGGCAGAAGAGGGCCAGCCTGGTTTACAGACTGAGTTCCAGGACAGCCAGGACTTTCGAAAAACCAAAACAAACAAACAAATAAAAAAACCCAGCAAAACTAAAACAAAAAAACAGTAACAACAACAAAAAAAAAAAAAAAAAAGAAGGAAGAAAAGAAACATTCTTACTGTTTAAAAAAACTAACTTTATAACTTTGTGTCTGGCTATATTCATGGCTATCCTGGGCAAGCAGCCCGAGCTGTGTTTCATTTCTAAACGTTCACACTGAGCTAGGCACAGTGGCACAGAACTCGAGAAGAATCACAGTGGTGGCAGTGAGGACTCACTACCACTCCAAAATGACTGGGTGATGAACTTCATTTTATTCACATTGTATCATATGAATTATACGATATAATAAAGTTATTGTTTTCGTGGATAGAGCGAGTACGGACTCCTGCTGAGTATGTCACCTGCAGCACCTGTGTGGTCGAGTGATAACACTCTTAGAACTCACCATTTAAAAGCTGGTGGCTGTCCTCAGAGCACCAAGAAGGAGAAAACGAGAAAAGCAGATTCTCTCCACTGTTTCTAGTGTAGGTAAGTAGGAAGAGACTAAATTCTTCTGGAGCCAAGCTACTTAAACTTTTGGTACCTATAAAGGACCTGTGATACCCACAAGGCATTTAAAAAAGTTTTAACTTAGGTGTGTGCATGTGTGTCTGGGAGTGCGGGCACACCCGTGTGTGGATCTCAGAGTGGTTTCCAGGAGCGAGCTCTGGCCTTCCGCGTGCTGAGGCAGGCTCTCTCTTGCGTCTGCTGCACACACAGGTCAGGCGAGCTGGCCGTCTGCTGCACACACAGGTCAGGCGAGCTGGCTGGTGAAGTTCCAGGAAATCCTTCCACTCCCACCTCCTGTCTTGGCGAAGGTGTGCTGGGATTACAGGTGCGCACAGCAGCTTTGGGTTTCAGCATCAAACTCCAGTCACCACACTTCATCGCTAGTGTTTGCATGCGCTGAGCCCTTCCCTAGGCATGAGGGCTTTCACACACAAGCTATTTATAATGAAATATGAGAACTTCAAACTATGTAGTTTATTTAACAAAATGTTCATTTTTAATTGTTACAGGCACCAGAAAAAATTCTAGTTTTACGTAGTAATTCAATATATATGTTAACAATAAGCAAGTGAAATGCTTTAATTTTACCCCAATTTCCCACTTAAAGTCTTAGATGATATAAATAACAGGGTAAAAATGTCTTCAATGCCTCCAAGGTTTGATTCATCAAATAATGATAATAATAATAAATAAATAAAAATGTTTAAGTACAAGAATGAAGTCTCAGTTCACATCATATCTATTTATATCTTCGCATTAAATAACAGATAGCTCTTCTTAAGCAATACTGAATTTTATTCATTGTTTTTTTCAGGAAGAATCTGTGTGATCCAATAATTAAAGAAAGCTGAGATTACTCTGGCATGTTCTGCAAGGTAAAAACAAAAGCAAAACAAACAAAAAACAAAATCATAAGTAATAATTTTGTACAGGTTTTAGCCCTTGGGCCTAGAAAACAAACAAACAAACAAACCCTGAAACAATCTAATAAAATGCTATCTCAGTATATAAACTGACAGAGATATGATGTGAATAGAAATTGAAAGGAAACAGAAGTTTGTGTCAAGGAAAGACAGAGAATCCTAAGTGGTGAGTACTAGGGGTTGCAGAGCCTTTGGCTTTCATGATGGCAATAATGTGCCAGGATGCCAGAACTCACCAAGGAGACAAGTCCATCTCCAAAATCACCGGCCAGCCCTGCAGTTCCTTCCCACGGAACTGTAGCTGGAGTGAGGGCTTTCTCAAACATCAGGCTTTGTAGTCGCCCTGCACAGCCGGTGAGTCTCAGGTCCCAGGCGGGACCCACCCCTGGAATTTACTTTCGGATCCCTCTACTTCTCAAGTTCGCAGCCCTGAGGCTGGAGGTCGAGGCAGGGGGCAGAGGGGACCCTCCCAGGGCTGCCCCTGATGTGGTCCACTTGATCTTTGCTTCCAAACCATATAGTATACACAATTATCGAGCCCTGGCACTGAGGGAGGGGTCCAACTTCTTCATTCCACACAGCCCTCTGAGATCCTCCTAACACTGTTGTTGTTGTTGTTTGCCTAGGGGCAGGGTGTTTGGCCTCTCTCTAAGTCTCTTTCTCTCTTGATAAGGCAAGTAAACTTCCACAAGGTGAATACAAGCACAGCAGAGCACAGACAGTCCTGCCCCATGTCTAAGTGTCTGAGTGTGACACAGGTCAGCTCAGCGAACGGTAGCCTGACCCATAAAGGGGTCTGTGACAACAAGCTAACACAAGGTGTGAATCCCATTTTCCCTAGTGCCTGTGGGGTCCTAACACCCTGAGGGCCTGTGCAAGGTGTCCAGGCCTTTTTTCAGAGAAGTCTCTGTGCTTTCAGAACACAAGGCCTACCTGCGGGGAGAGTAGGGAGCTACGGCAGGCAGGCAGAGTACACTTTTAAGGTCAGACCCCAGCCGTGTACAACTACTAGACGCCAGAAGCTTATTTCATAGAGACTAGAGCCTGTTCCTAAAGAGATATACAGAATCTCATTACACAGGCCTGCATTTAAGAGCAAGGTTTTGTTGTCTGCGTCTCATTAGGTAGGCCTGGTATTCAGGAGTAAGTTTTGCTGTTTGTGACTGACACAGAAACAATTTTAAGCACACATTCTATCTAATCTGTGCACTGAGGGAACCTGTGTTACAGAAATACTTTCTTATATGAGATTTAGGTCCATTGACTACTTATGGCCAATGTGCCTGAAATGGAATCTGTCCAGTCATATTAGGCAGCACCAGTGATTTTTACAATGCAGAGGTTCCCCTGTGCACACTCTAGATGGGTTTCAGGGTACATACATGAAGCTGGTAAGTGCCAGGACAGGACAGTTAAAAGTCCTTTCATAAAAAGTTCACATTAGTTTAACTTAACAAAACCAGCATTATACGGTTTCTTTAAGTTAAAAGAAAGTTTTTGGTGTGTGTGTGTGGTGTGTGTGTGGTGTGTGTGGTGTGTGTGGTGTGTGTGGTGTGTGTGGTGTGTGTGGTGTGTGTGTGTGTGTGGTGTGTGTGTGTGTGTGTGTGTGTGTGTGGTGTGTGTGTGTGTGGTGTGTGGTGTGTGTGTGTGTGTGGTGTGTGTGTGTGTGTGTGTGGTGTGTG